ATTGGATAAAGCAGTTTGTCACATGGCTACCCAATAGCAACAGGGGAGAAGTTGAGCCTAGCATATTCCTGCTCTCAACAAAATCAGGAGAAGGGAGGAATGACTAATGAGTAGATATACTAGTCAGAATGGGTTTGTTTAGGCTTCAGTAACAACCTCAGAGCCACAGAGGCTTAAACAATGAAAGTCTATTTTTCACTCATGCTACTTCTTTATAATGGGTTGGCTGGAGCTGAGCTTCTGTTCTGTGGCACTATCCAGCAGAAATGTCATACGAGTCACATATATAATTCAATTTTTTTCCAGTAGCCACATTAATAAAAATATTTTTAAAACAATTGAAATTAATTTTAATAAAATTTTATTTAACTATACCCCAAATATTTCAATATGTAATCAATAGGAAAAAAAACATTTTAGTCAGTTTATATTCTTTTTATCTTACTACTTCAAAATCTGATGTGTACTTTACACTTACAGCACATCTTAATTTGACCAGCCACATTTCGTGTGCTCAGTAGCCACATATGAGTAGGAGCTACCGTACCAGACAGTGTAACCTTCTTATCCTCATTCACGTGCCTACGCTGAGGAAGAACCCATCTCTTTGCTTCCGTGACTGTCACAGCAGGACAAAGGAATGTGATCAATCACACTGGCTGTTAAAGTTTTCACTGAGAAAACTCAAAAAAATATGCTTCATTTCAACTTACATATTGTTGGTTAAAGTAAGTCACAGCCAGGCACAGTGGCTCACGCCTGTAATCCCAACACTTTGGGAGGCCGAGGTGGGCAGATCATCTGAGGTCAGGAGTTTGAGACCAGTAATGCCAACATAGTGAAATCCTGTCTCTGCTAAAAATACAAAAATTCGCTGGGCATGGTTGTGGGTGCCTATCGTCCCAGCTACTTAGGAGGCTGAGGCGGGAGAATCACTTGAACCTGGGAGGCAGAGGTTGCAGTGAGCCAAGATCGTGCCATTGCACTCCAGCCTGGGCAACAAGAGTGAAATTCCATCTAAGAAAAAAGTAAGTCACATGACTGCATCTAACTTCAAGGGGAATGGAAGTGTAATCCTCCCACATATTTAGAAAGAAAACTGGAATTATTTGATGGACAGGCTAATGACAATTACAGTAGGTGACAGTTTCTGACACAGCATCTAACATATAGATAAAGGAAGGTAGAAAATAAAGAATTGGGCAAAATATATAAGGCAGATTAAACAGAAAGAAAGCAAGGGTGGCAACGTTAATATCAGATAAAGCAGAATTCAAAAGCATTATACAGGAAAAATGGGGGCACTTTATGACAAACTGTCTAATACATGAACTGTATAGTAGCCCATAAACCTTTATATATAAAATCAACAATGCCGCCAAAGAAGAAAACTAAACATGATAAAAAGCTGTCTTCTAAAAATAAACAGCAAACAACACAGGCAAATCAATGGTAGGTTCTGGCTAATGGAATAAGCCAAGAAAATGAGACAATTGGTATCAACATGGAAAAGACACAAAATTAGTCTTATTTGCAGATGACATGATTGTTTACAAAGAAAACCCAAAAGACTGTACCAAAGTTGATTCAAATCATTAAAAGATTTTGATGTCTCATGTTTATGAGAAATGTGTGTGCTGTTTCTGGATAGAAGGGCTTAAGTTCCTCCGGGACAAACAGTGTCAAAGAATAGCCAAGAAACTTTTAGAAGAAAACAAGGAAGACAGCTTGCCTTGACAGATATTAAACCTTATTCTGCATATTAGTGGAATATGTACGGGGGTCCCCTGTAATCGCTATTCCAGGCCCTGGAATTCCAGAGATTCTGACCTCTCCTCTCAGTGTGCATTCCTCATGCTGTCCCTCCCCCGATATAAAAATCACTGGTAGAGAATTGCCGTAAGTGAAGAGAACATAGTTTGTACCCCAGGCCTGTAGAGGAGAAAAAAGAGGAGAATGGCTGCTATTTAAAAGTTACTTAAAAATAGGGTCTATGTAGATGAAATGATAGGGAGAGATGTCATGGCACCCCTGGAAGCTTTCCTGGGATACTCAGCTGCATCTATCAGGAAACAGAAGCATTTGAAGGCAGTTCCTCCAGCAAAGCTGAGCTCACTTGGACTTGGTGTTCTTTCATGAACTTCCTTCTATTAACATTTGTCAAGATGGCTTTTTAAAGAATTATGATAACTTTGAGTTAATATAGTTAATCCAAAGTGGCAGTGATACATTATTTGCATAACACTTGACTGGTCAACCCAGGAGACCAGACGACAGAGAAAGAGCCCTGTGAGAGTGGGGTGGCGAATTCCCAGAGGAGGACCCTGTGCCTCTTGCACTCAGCTTGATCAGGACAGAACACAAAGCCTAGGCCTGTTAGATGTGGAAGCAGATTTCAGGTCCAGTTCTACTGCCGAGTCCTTGGGTATCTGTGCCTCTCGGAATTCAGCATGCCAGAGGAAGAGGGAAGGCCATGGACAGAATGGGACAGATGACCTCTAGGGTTCCATCCACCCTGCATGTTCACTTTTGCCCTGGAGAAATGGAGATTTGGAGCCTTTGGGTTTCCAGCTGCTTCTGCAGCAGTGGCTTATGGTAGCAGCCATTGCCACCATCACAGCCGCAACCTGGACCTACAGGCCAGAAGCCTCCAGTGGCTGGGAGGAGTCAGCACCCCAATGGCAAAGACCACGGAGGACCTCTAAGGGCAAGGACGTTGTAAAACGCATTGCTGGACACTCACAAATACATACATTCCTCATGGTGTATATATACACATACATACATGTAAGCTTCTAGGGTCATTTTCAAGCCCAAATATCTTTCTAGATCAGCACCTTTGCTTGCTCATGGTGGGCGTTTTGTCAGGCCCTTCAGATGCATTGTGGTGATCTTTCACATTAATGTGCTCGTCTCATCGGAAGTATGTTCCGGAGGTGTGCCTCTGTGCAAGGGCTGTCTGCAGTCTCCTACTAGAGCTGCGCTTCTCAACCAGGGATGATTTTGCCCTCCAGGGAACATGTGGCAATGTCTGAAGGCAGACTGCCACTAGAAAGGGAAGGAGCGTCTGCTGACATCTGGTGAGTGGAGGCCAGGGATGCTGTTAAGCATGCTGCAACAAGTAAGACGTCCCTCACAAGAGAATGTCACTAGTTCTACTCTAGTGAGCCAGCTGCGTGTGGCAGCACACACCTGTAGCCCCAGCTACTCAGGAGGCCGAGGCAGGAGGATGGCTTGAACCAGGAGTTTGAGGCTGCAGTGAGCCATGATCACACCACTGCACTCCAACCTGGGTGACAGCAAGACCCCGTCTGTAAAATAAAATAAAAATAAGGAGACCCAATAGGACTCTGGTTAAAATCTCGTCCACCAAATACTATGCTGTCGTAAAGCACAAAAAGAGGTCGTGTCATTTGCAGCAACGTGGATGGAGCTGGAGGCCATTAATCTAAGCAGACTAATGCAGGAACAGAAAACCAAATACCACACGTTGTCACTTATAAGTGGGAGCTAAACACTGAATACTCATGGACACAAAGAAGTGAGCAAGAGACACTGAGGCCTACTTGAAGGTAGAGGTTAGGAGGAGGGTGAGGATCAAAAGACTACTTATTGGGTCCAGTACCTAGTACCTGTGCACTAAACCCCCATGACATGCAGCTTACTGTATAGCAAACCTGCACATGTACCCTTGAACCTAAAATAAAAGTGTTTTAAAAAGTGTGTTCTCCACAAAGTATGCCTGTAGGAGTTGTGACCTCTCTTGAGTCCCAGTATTAGGAATAATATTATTTAAGAGCTTCTGAAATGAATTTCTCTGTGCAAGTTTCTTGAAAACGTCAATTTATTTGATTGCATTGTCTGTTGGAAAGCAGCATAGCTCTGCCTTGAATGATGTTAAAAGAAAGCTTAAAATCCTTAAGCCCGAAATCTGAAAAAGGAAGGAACCGCGGAGATCATCTCGAGAGGAAATGGTACTTGCTCTTACACTGCAGAGGTGATTACTAGGGGTTGGAGATAATCAAGAAGTTACTCAGTGGTCCTTAGCGTCAAAACAGAGCTCAGAAAGGTACCAGCAGCTGCCGTTACCAGCCATCAGGTTTGGCCCCTTCATGTGAGTCCTCATCACTGTAACCCTCTTAATAAAAGTGGACACATCTTTTCACAAATCCTTCAGTGTACACGGCATGAAGCAGGGCATTGCCTTATTAGGCCATCTAAAAAAGAAGAAACAGAAACTGGAAATGCTTCATGGAAATAAACTGTTTTTTATTAGCATTTATTAACAATGCTGTAATGAAGTGTTTCCATCAATTAGGTTTGGAATGGCTGGCATCTGGGGCTGAGGAATAATGGAGGCCTTTTCTTGGGGCCTAGGTTTTCTTAACACTCCCTGTGAATACAGGTTTTATTCCCCTTAAAGGAGAAAGCTGTCCCCATGTCTGTTTCCTGGGAGGGAACTTCTTGTACCTTACCTTGGTCCCTCTCCCAGTCTTCCCCAGAGAACCTCCTGGAATGACTAGGGGGTCATTGTAATCTGGTGAACGTGTCTCCCATTCCCTGCATGTGAGATTGACTTAGTCTTTTTAGGGAAAAACTTGCTTAGAAGAAAAAACAAACAGTTATTAGAGGGAATCAAGGATTAAAGCATGAGTTTGTATTTTTGTTTTTAAATTAAGGATTGCATTCCTGGGAGTAAGGCAGGTGCTATTTAAATACACAAAATGGTTTGTGAGCCTCAGGAGTCCAGCCTGGCTTGTTAGGAGAGGGGGTGTCTGAGATACAGAAGGAGCCTCGCCTTCACTGAGGAAAATTTTCAGGTTCCTCCTGTTCATTAAACACCACCAAGGTATAGAGAGCAGCTCCTGCAGCTGCTGTGCTCGAGAGGGCTTTGAAGTTTCTTTTGAGAATATGATCTTCTCTTCAAACCTGACAATGATTTTTTTTTTCTTTTTCCTCAGGGTGACCAGAGGCAGGTCATTCCCATACCAAGTGTATGTATATTTATCTAATTTTATTTATTCAAACAGTCATAAAATCTTGTGGCTTTGGGCCTACTGATATATAGGATTTTTAAAATGTTTATTGCTTGTGTTGAGTTTATCATGTGGTATAAACAACTCTGTTTTGTTAAAAAGAAAACTGAAGCTAGATTTTAAACTGAGAGCAGGAAGTTCTGTACAGACACAGTTTCCTTTCTCAGGAACAGCAGGGCAGCCAGCATCCATTAACCCAATTCCCATTTTTCCTTTCTCTCTGAGAAGTGCCTCCAAGCTGAACAAGCTGAGGTTGCTCAAAGCCCTCACCCACACCCCACCATCTTAGCCTCAACTCCATAGATTGGCGGGAACATTCTTTGCCCAGACACAGTTCTCTGCAGCAGGTTCAGTCCCAGTGGAACTAGGCTCACCAAGCCCAGGTCCCAGGTGACCATACCATTTCTAACTTATCAGTGTTGGTAGCATGCCTGGAGCTCCGAGATGAGAAAAGTCACCCTAATTATATTCTCTGAACTTTCGGGACCCACCCCACAGGCCTGCTGTGCTGAAACTCTGCCCCAGCTGGGCACTCCCTGAGGCCACCCCTACTTCTGTTGTCAACTCTGAAATTTGTTCCACCCTAGCACAGTCCTGCACCAGCCACCCCTCAGCCATCCGCTGTCCCCGCTGTCCCTTCTCTTCCTCCTGCTCTGCCAGCAGAGTCACCCAGCCTGAGGCTGGTCAGCAAGAAGCAAACTGAAGACTGACTCCCAAAAGAAACTTGCAGTTGAGACGTCTGTATCAAACAAGACCTTTCAAATAATCTTATGTCCTTAGAGAAGGATTTAGGTTTCAAAATGTGTCTATATAATTTATTTTTTAGTCTGCAAAGATTATCAGATTCAGATTACTGGATTCAAATCTGTTCATTTCTCTTTCCTTGGAGTTTTTCACATATTTTCCTGGGAACATCCAATAGACACAGCAATCTTACATTGAAAGGAGTGGATTTCATGCATGCAGGTTGACTCCAAAGCTTTGGTAGTACATGTCACTTACAAATTGCCCAAAAAGTTTACAGTAATTTCATTTTTCTCAAAACTCTAACTCTTCATTGACTAACAAGTTGCAAGAGTTTGTGGAGTGATTCTGACTTTGCCCATATGCCTAAGGGTTGGGCTTTGTTGGGAAAACTGGCTTTGATCAAAAAGACTGACTTAGCAACACAACTTTTTATCCAGAGTTTGTGGGAGATGCCCAGCAGAGTTACTACCAGAAAACTCTTTAACCTTTATACAAAGTGGTTTTTGATATTATTTTCCTTCAAAGGTACCTACATTAAACAGATGGCAGGTACCATCTCTCCTTCTACCTCCAAGATCACTATTACTGTTTTTTCCTAAAGCTAATTGGCAGCCATGTGCAAAGTTAAGTGCAGAACAAAAGCACTTGTCAGTATTAAAACCCCTCTGAAGAAACAGACCCTTTTCCCACAGATCTAAACTCAGCCATGTACAGAATTCTGAAATAAGAAAAACAAGAAAATTCCTTATGTAATTGATCCTAGTAATAGATCAATAAACTGCTGACTGTCCTACACATGAGATGTTGTTGGGTCAGGCCATGTGAACCTCTGAACTATTTGCCCAAAGAAACAAAGCTGAGCTGAAGGCACTTGCATTTTTGAATGATGAGCTCCAGAAAAGCAGTGGGTACAGTGTGATCTCCACTGCCTGCTTTGCATATAGGATTGATCCCAAGTCCATCCCGGGCCAGCTAAACACTGGAATCAAGTCTTGGGAGCCCCTGCAAAATCTGCACCTACCTGGAAAGGCCCCAGATTACATAAGCAGAGTGATCCTGGCCTTTCTGAACCTCTGGGGGACCTGGTCAGTGCTGGGAGCCCTGAGAGCTTAGGGTGCCATATACAGGACCAGAAATCCAGGCTTGTGCTGAGCCTCCAAACCAGATACCACAACCTGAAAGCTTTCTTCAGGCGCTGAAGCTAAAGAATGCCTCTAAGCCTGTACCCAGAGCAGCTCCAGCTGGGGTCCCCATCTGTCCCTGTCACCTCACCCCTCTTTTTTCATTTGTGTGCTGCCCTGTTTGTATATGTAGGTTTGGTCTTCTAATTTTTTACTAACCAATAATTCAAGCTCATGGTTAGTTTTTAAATATTGCAAGATTTGGGATTAACACCTGTGGAAATACATATGTAAATGAAGTTGAAAGATTAAAGTAAAAGGGAAATATCCCTCAACATAATCCTACTACCTAGAATAACCACTTTTAATGCATGTCGTGTATCCTTCCAGAAGTTTTCCAGACAAACACAAACATATTTTCATAAATGAAGTTGTGTTGTATCCACCATTCTGCAAATTGCTTGTTGTTTTCTAACAAGATGTCTGAAACATCTTTCCAAATATTAGTAGGTATATATCTACCTCATTGTTTTATATTTCATTGATGGCATTTACTTTATTTCCACTTTTGTGCTATTATAAATATTTCTCTTAAAAATATCCTCATTTTGGCCGGGCACGGTGGCTCATGCCTGTAATCCCAGCAGCACTTTGGGAGGCCGAGGCAGGCGGATCACGAGGTCAGGAGATCCAGACCAGCCCGGCCAAGATGGTGAAACCACATCTCTACTAAAAATACAAAAAAAAATTAGCTGAATGTTGTGGCACACACCTGTAGTCCCAGCTGCTCTGGAGTCTGAAGCAGGAGAATCGCTTGACTAGGGAGGTGGAGGTTGCAGTGAGCCAAGACAGTACCATTACACTCCAGTCTGGGCAACAGAGTGAGACTCTGTCTCCAAAAAAAAAAAAATCCTCATTTCTGTGTGCTTGTGGACTTGTTTGTGATCAGTTTCTATCTGTGGAAATGCTAGGTCAAAGGATATATTTTACAGTATTGGTACATTAAAGCCAAATTGTCCTCCAAAAGCCTATGCTAATTTACATTCCCATGAAGTATCTATGAGATTGCCTCCTAGCCTTCCTGAAAATGATTATCAAATGTTTCAATCTTTGCTAATCTGAAAGTAATGAATGGTATCAGGCCGGGCGCAGTGACTCACACCTGTAAACTCAGCACTTGGGGAGGCCGCAGAGGGCGGATTGCTTGAACTCAGAAGTCTGCAACCAGCCTGGGCAACATGGTGAAACGCTATCTCTATAAAATATACAAAAAATTAACTGAGCATGGTGGCATGTGCCTGTAGTCCCAGCTTCTTGGGAGGATCATGAAACCCCATCTCTATAAAAAAATACAAAAAGTTAACCGGGCATGGTGGCACGGGCCTGTAGTCCCAACTACTTGGGAAGATTGCTTGAGCCTGGGAGGCGGAGGTTGCAGTGAGCCAAGATGGTACCACTGCACTTTAGCCTGGCCTAGAGAGCCAGGCCCTGTCTCAAAAAAAAAGATTGGTATCAATTTATTGCTTTGATTTGCATTTCTTTATGACTCAGTTTGAGCAGCTTTTCACAAGTTCATTGGCTATCTTTCTTCTTCTCTATTCATTTCTTCTTGTTTTTTATGCTGTGATGCTTATTGTTTTAAATTTTAAGGCAATTAGTCCTTTTCCCCAGATGTATGATAAATCTTTTGGCCTTATTTATTTATAATTATTTTGGCCACAAGGAAGCTTTAGTTTTATTTAAATAAATATTAATGTCATCCTTTATGTTCCCTAATTTTATATTTTCTTCTAGTATTTTAACAGTTTTTCATCGTTTCACCATTACACCTTTAAATCTTCGATCCATTTGGCATGTATGTTGGTGTAAGGCATGAAGTAGGAAACTATCTTTTTTCCCAAGTGGCTACTGAGTTATCCCAGCACCATTTGTTGAGTAATCATGTTTTGCACACCTAAGGGGAATGACATCTTTATCTTTACCATTAGTATCATTCACCTCCCGACTGTGGGCTGGGATTTACTAGGAAGCTTCATGGGCTCTTTGGTGAAAGGTATTGAAGAATAAAGAAAAGATGCAGAGGGAAGGAAAGTTTGAAACCAAGTATGGATGGTTAAGGCTTGAGGTGAGCATTAGAATGCCTTGGCCCCAGTGAGGAACGCCACTGGGCTGTGACCTGAGTCCTACCGATCCCACACTTTGCTTAAATTACACCCCACACTGATGCCCCCAAACGTGACGCTGGCAGCGTAACTGAGCCATAAAAATACTCAAAGGGGAGAGGACTTGTTTTCTAACAGCTATGTTTCTATGCTGTTTGTCTAAGGCTTTTAATACAGCAGTAGTACACTTCTTTCCACGAAAACATTATGAAGCACGTACAAGCATGATAGCTATTCTAATTAAAACCAGTCTAGAGTTCCTCTTGCTCCCCGCCATGTTAGGCCCTGACATCTGCCCTGAGCTCTGAGGGCTTGGGGAGCACAGCGTGCAGACCTTGAGCCTGAGAAATCTTAAGTAAGGAAACAATAATCCAATGTACAGGAAGAGGTGCTACATCTGTAAGATTTATGAGTTTGTGGGGTGGGCACTCCAAGAGGAAATAAGCTTAGTGTTAACTATTCACGGCTGCCAGTTGTCTGCCAAGGACAGGAAATTTCAGATTTACTCCCAGGAAGAGAATAGGAATGAATACCATTCCCAAATCGTGGATGACAAGCCATGGTCTTTTCCTCCTCCACCCACCGCCCAGAACTGCTCTTTGTGTACATTTGAACAAGTCATTTTGTATAAGAAAGACCTTTCCTGATATGACTGGTATGTCTCTTGTTCTTCAGCTTATGAAGACCTCAGAGAAAACTTGGTTCAGGACATTTCTTTGGTAACGATTCAAGCATCACCTGAACAGATCAACTGAAGCAACAAAGCACTGTGTATTGCCATTATATAGCATCCTTACATTTCCAAGGACGCAGCTGTCCCAAAGAATTCTTACCCATGGGCTGAAGAATTTGCATTAATCTAAAGCCAAGCTCCCAGGAAGCTGTATGCATTTAGGAAACAGCAGAAGATTAATGGAACCTCCTAGCCTGTTGCCCCCCAGCTTAGCCTTGTTCCCTGCAGCACAAGTTAAAATCAGTAGCTTGCTTAATATGAGTCTCACCCTTCTCATCCTTCTCCATCTTTTCTTTCTTAGACAGTACCGTGAAGCGTTTTACTTTCTGTAATGCCTGTAAAGTGTGGGTTAACTGTGCTAAGAAAGTAATCTTTATTCTTGGGTTTGGAAAATGAGCCACTTTTGGCAGATCTTTGATGTTTTCAGAGATGCTAGGGATAGAATTTCTAGATCCTTATTTTCCAGGCTAACAATTAAATTAATAAGTTAAACTGTTTCATAGGGAAAGGACTGGATAGATAGTAAAGTGAAAAGGGAGGCATGGAAAAGAGAATGATTGCATTTTACTCTCAGGTGTCTATAATCTTTACAATGAGAATGTATTTTTATGTTAACTAATTGTGTCATAAAAATTAAAACAACTTTTATTCTGGTCACAAGCATGCTTTCTGCTCTGTCCCAAACAACAGAAATGACCCGCATCCTCTCTACTGTCTTTACTTAACCCATCACACTCTGCCTTTTTAAAACACCCTTTGATACAGAACTTTGCAAATTTAATTTTTTAAATAACCTGCTGACTCACTGGTTTGTAATAAAGGATAGAGTCCTTTCTAGGTCCTCTAATTCCATGCCTGTCTCCAAGATACATCCCCACATCCCTTCCCAGTGCTGCAGGGTTAGGGAGGATTGCTTCCAGCTGAGAGAGGTGGGAGGCCGCAAAGGCTTTTACTTCTGGATGACGTTGGCAGGGAAGAAACACCCACGCTCTCTAGAGAGAACCCTCTGAAGTTAGAAACACTCGTGTCTCCACATGTAGTTCCTGGGCAACCCTGGACAGTCCCTCTCTGCCAAGATGATCATTGTACTTGGCAAATGTACCTAACCTATTGATTGCCTATGTTACATTCACGATTGAACCAGCTGATGTCCAAAATTAACTTTTTGGTCATTGACTAACTTTCAGCTTGAACCAAAAAATAGAGGAAATAGCCATGTAAAAGGAAATACAATTATATTTTATTTTTTTCTTGTTTTATTTGATGAACTAAATTGTCCATTCTTCAGGGGCTCAGAATAGATTTCCTTGTGTTTTGTTTTGCATCAAATATTAAAGAGAGTATGACCTTCTTTGTAAGTCAGAAAATTAATTAGTTAATATTGGATATTTAATATGCCACAAAGCTGACTAAAATACTTAAGATCATTTCTAGAATGAGGCAAAGCCTAAAGAAATAAATACTCTAAATTGAGTGAGGTTGGTTGAAAATACTTAGCATTTTATGGTTGGCTGAAGATAGCCAGCATTTTATTAACTCTTTATGACTTCTTTATCACAAGATTTGAGTCACCTGCTACAAAGACATATAAATAGATTGATTGTTTGGTCAACACACAACATGTGGATTAAAGTATAACTTTCAGAGGCAGAGAATCCAAGAGGTAAAAATAACACATTGCTCAGTATTACACCTGTGTGGCAGCACGAGGCGGGAGTGTACCTGGATTAGTTTTGTTTCCTAGTGTTGGGGTAACTCTAGCCTGCATTTTGCTGGTAGGCCTATAGTTCCTCTTCAAGTTTTTTAAAAATCTGTCACAAAAAAAAAAAAAGAAAGAAAAGAAATTATGTGATTCCAACATAGCTCTAAACTCTACATGTGTGCCACAGTGAATTTCAGGCAAAATATGACCCCACGAAAGAGACCTCCATTTAACAGTACCTATTGTAATTAAATACTCATTCTTGTGTAATCCATTTTAATACTAATTGTAGCCACCAATATATGTGCGAGGCAAAATGCTGGGTGTGTTACTGCCATCATAACTGGTAACAGCCTTTCATGCTAGGTGTTACTGTCCCAATTTACAACCAAGAAAGTGACAGAGCTGATGATCAAAACCAGGTTTGTCTGGTTCCAAAGCCGAGGACTTCATAGTAGTCATTCAAATAGTGGCACAGTATTTGGTAGAACTTCAGTTGCAAACTGTTTATTCCTATTGTTCTTAATAAAAGTCCATTATATGCTTGACCAAGCATTTAAATGTTTGTTTTCATTTATACCCTTAATAACGTAAATAGCATAATACAATACTGGTTGGTTTGTCTTTTACATAAAGGTAATACTGATTTATTTTTCCCTTTTAGCCGCCAGCTAAGTACCTCCTTCCAGAGGTGACAGTGCTTGACTATGGAAAGAAATGTG